ACAATAGGAGCAATCTAATGTCTATGATTAAATTAGGTGCAGTACTTCCAAAGAGTGTGATACCAAACAGTAACTTATTATTTTAAACAGAGTTGTAGGGGCGCCTGGGTGGCTCAGTCGTTAAGTGTCTGCCTTCGGCTCAGGTCATGATCCCAGGGTCCTGGGATCGAGCCCCACATCGGGCTCCCTGCTCGGTGGAAAGCCCGCTTCTCCCTCTCCCACTGCCCCTGCTTGTGTTCCCTCTCTCACTGCCTCTCTCTGTCAAATAAATAAATAAAATCTTTAAAAAAAAAAAAATAAACAGAGTTGTATTTACTAGCATAGAAACGCCTCGAATCTACAGAAGTATATTGTGATGTTCACACTAAATGACCCTACTATGTGCATGTTTTAAATAAGTTACAGATAAATCTCACAAACATAACATTGAACAAATCAAGAGACACACATGAAGGAAGTATACACTGGATGAACTGTAGTTACTTAAGGTTCAAGCACACACAAAATAAACCTTATAAATAAAGGTCTTTTTTAATTCTCAGGAAGACTTTTTTTTCCTCTTTCACAGTATCCGTATGACCTACGGAGATCTACACTGCAATACTCTTCGTGTAAGAGCTCTGGGAGTAGCTCGTAAGAAAATAAAGCTTGTCGTTTTAAAAACAAAATGCTGAAAAGCCTCCTCATATACGGTCATAAACTAAGAATTCAGCATAGAACATACAGTTTCAGACATGGAGACAACCCATGTTGAAACACAACAGCTGGAAGTCGGTCACCTTTCTCAAGAACCTGACATCACCTCCTTGAAATATCAAATATACCCAAAAAACACAACGAGACCATCTCAAAAAAATTCTGGGCAATTAGTTACCCCAGAGATTTGCAGTCTGCAAAGAGGTGTGTCTCTGAGAGTCCAGCAAACCGCAGCAGAAAGCGATCTTCAGTGAGACCCATGCAGTATTCATGAGGACAAATAGGAGCACAGAGAGGCCAGAGAGAGATGGGAAGGACACAGATGGGTTTGTTACAAGCAGCTCTGAGGCCCCTCCCCCAGCCTCCTGATATTAAACCAACCTCAGCATAACTTACTCCATGGCTAATTCATCCCACTGGTGACTGTGAGCATAAAGTTCAGGGAAGAGGTGACAAGGGGGAGCTTCTGCAAGCCCTAACTGCCTTCCTGAGACACACATGCCCGATTCAGTTATAGCTCCAGAGCTCCTACTTGGATCTTATACAGGTCATTTGGCTCCACATCATACCCAATGCAGAAACCCACTTTCTTGCTCTTCCTGCAATGGGAGGAAGAAGCGAAGTAACACAGGGCAAGGGTTTGGAGAAGGCAAGCTCACCTCCTGCCTTCTCTGCACTGGGAAAATTCTAGACCAAACCTCACATAACAGGGATCTAATGATCTTAGTGTCACTGGGATTTTGGTAATCATTAGCATTTGTCTTTAATTAGGAAAATTCCAAATCAAGTATTTTAGATTTCTAAACCTAATTTCCTTAATAAATTAATCTTGAAGTAAAAATGTTTCATATTTCTAAATCAAAGATCCCTATTAAACAAAGCAGCATGTTAAAGGAGAATAGAACAACAGAACTGGGCCAAGAGGACACAGTGAGACAAAACACATTTATCACCCACCTATACAACTGAGGCAAGTTGTATTTCTTCTCTGGGCTTCAGTATTATAAGCAAAAAGAGGCATTTGGTGATCTCAAAAGATTCTTTCCGGCTCTAAAATGCTGTGGTTCTAAGGTACTCCTGTAATTTCTCCCAGAAATACTAACCAAAGGCAGTAATTCATTTTATCGCTTCCAATAACACACTCATAGGACTTCGATTCTCATAGATTCAAATGAAATTCTGTTCCAAGTATGCTAGTTTTGAATATGTCATTAAAATTTTCCTAGAAACACACCATTTAAACCTCTACAATCCAACCGGCATCTGCAGATTCTCCTTCTTTCTTCCTATAAAACTGGAGGAAGTCTCCCTCTCTTAATCAAAGGCCCAGCGATCTCCCTGTGTGAGCTGGGGGTGCCACCTCTTTCCAGGAACCTCATCCATCACTGATCCTCCCTCTCTACTGTATCTTTAACCTGTTTCTTGAGTCTAGCTCAGTTTAGTCAGATAAATACCCCAGACCCTGCCATCTTGGAAAAAAGAAAATAAACAAAATCCTCCCGAGACCCAACACTTCTCCAGCATCAGGCTGACATCTGTGCTCTCCTCCAACTTCCAACCTCTTCAAAGAATGGTCACGTCCAACCCGTTCTTATCCACCACCAATCCATTCTTACAAAGTAGCCAGAGTGGTCTTCCCAAGCTACAGATCCAACATCACTCTCGTTGTTCTTGATGAGAACAGCCTGTCCTCGTAGGCGCCATGGCACTTGTTCCTGTGGACATCATTAACTAGTCTCACCTCCTACCACACATTCACTGCATCTGGAGAAGGACACTGGCCTTTTCTCCAAACATGCCAATGTCTTTCCATCTCAGGGAGTCTACCTTCCCTCAGCTAGAAGGCTCCCTCTCCCCACCACCACTTCCTGCTGTCAGGCCAATTCCTATCCTTCAGGTCTACTTTAATCCTGACAGCCTCCTGGAAGCCTTTGGTTGTCAGTTAAACCATGCTACCTTGTCATTTCAGCTGTCTTAGCAGCCAAGCAGTATGCCATTGGACCAGTATTTCAATCAACTATTTGTCACATTGGCTGGTGGAAAGGGAGAGCTTCTTGTTTTGAAAGTGTGCCCTGTGCTTTCTCGAACGGGAAAGAGGTTGTTTACAGATAAGCATTTAGGACGGCATGGCATTCAATCTGCAGTCTAATCTACAAAGCAGTCCTGTGCTAAGGTCATGGGTTTCTGATTTAACCAAAGCTCACTGCGTAAGTATGGGCCATAAGCCTTAAACCTGTCTATGCCCTTTAACCTAGTAATTCCACCTCTATGAAGTTATCCTACGAAAGTAACATATATACACAGAAAAAATTTTAGAGGCATTCATGGCAGCAATATCTATACAGCAAAGAAGAAAAAAAAAGTAAGCATCACGACTCTCGATCTCGGGGCAGTAAGTTCAAGTCCCATGATCGGCGTACAGATTACTTAAAAAGATCCTTAAAAAAAGGGGGGGGGCATCAAAAAGCCTTTGTTGCCACAAAAGAGCAGCTGTACCAAATTCAAAACTGGTACAGCAAGTGAACATCAGCTAAACAAACAAGATACAGGTTGAGCTCCATCACACAGAAATGCTACCTTAAAAATGCTTTAAGTTCTGATGCATCAACCTTTGAAATTCATGATGATTGTAGCTGACCTTGAAACTAAGGGATCCAGACGGAACCCCCTGAAGGTAAGAGGTGTTAGTGGGCCCCCACAGATATGTGAGGCCTCCTCGATTCATGGAGGCACTATGGGCCTGGGAGGCAGAAGTCCTGGGTTATAACTCTAAAATCTGCTGAGAACTCACTACATGATTAGGCAGTCACTTCATTTCTCTGGGCTTAAGCTTCCTTATCCGTAAGACAACAAAGTCACAAAAAACACTTCCAATTTTACAATTATACTATCAATCATCAGCTCTCCACAATAGGCACTGGAGTAGAAAGACCACAATTTAAATTACAGGTCCACCCCTCTTTTGGTTGGGAGCCATTGGACTAGTGACCCCACCCCTCCAAGCCTCCGTCTCCTCCTCAGCTCCCCAGGGCTGCTCCAGAACACTGTGGAAACGTTCCATGAGACACATGGTACGCTAACAGCTCTTCTTGTCCTCCCGAGGCATTCCTGGAAGCTGCCAGGCCTGGCGGAACTTTACAGCTGCTGAACAGATACAAGGAAAGGCACCGGGTCAGAGACTGCTGACTAACTTCAGGCCCTACACTGAACTGACTGAAGTGTGGGAAGAGTGAAATAGTAAAGCTTCAACCTTTCATCAGGGAGAGAAAGAGCTACCACTGCTTGAGTGTTTGCTGTATCCCAGGCACTGCTAAGAATTTTATATGCATTATCTAATGTAATCCTTTCAATGATGCTGGGGGGTTAGTACTATTCTCGTCTCATTCTTACAGATGAGGAAGCTCGGAAGTTAAAGAACTTGCTGAGGTCACAAAGGCAGAGCTGGGGCTCAGCTTGTGTTTTTAGTTCTGCAACACTGGCCTCTTGTTTAAAACAAAAAACAAACTGGGGCGCCTGGGTGGCTCAGTTGGTTAAGCATCTGCCTTCAGCTCAGGTCATGATCCCAGGGTCCTAGGATTGAGCCCCACATCAGCTCCTTGCTCAGTGGGGAGCCTGCTTCTCCCTCTGCTCCTCCCCTCTTCTTGTGCTCTCTCTCTCTCTCTCAAATAATCTTTTTAAAAAAATAAAACAAAGAACAAAATCACGAGTGTAAATTCAAGGGTTCTAGAATGTACAGCATAGACCTTATATGTTCTGTTTCTTGCTTCTTAGTAAATAGAAACTACTATACACTTCCTTCCTCTTCCTAGATCTCAAGCAGACAACTCCTAACCTTAAAGGAAAATAAACTGGAGATCATTTCAAAGGCACAGAAATTCTGAAATAACATCCTATGATATCTGAGTTTTTCAAGATACCTAAGGAAGCAGGATCTTATATATTCCCACACACCATCCGTACAGCAAAAATTACAAACCAGGGGGGAAAAAACTTTTATAAACACATCCAAGTCCACTTCTGAGCTTGTTTTGTCAAGTAACAGTTATGAGTAATAAACTCAATATTCCTTAGGCTAAACTGGTAGACAGAATCAGAACCAATCATTGCAAACCTATGCTCATACTATGCTCAAAAGACATAGCCAGTTTCTAATTTGTTCCATGGTCACACATAAACCGAACGCTAGAAAAGCTGACTAATTTCTCTATAAATGAGTGATCCCTCTAGAACAGACCAAGCCTGTAGTGTGCATTTCAACCATTCATCAGTTCAACACGATGACCTCCAAAGGTTTCTGGACTCACCAATACTCTGTCTCCAATTTTGAGCTCTCTTTCTCCTTTCTTGATGGAACCGGCCTCTGAGAGGTTGGAGATAGATTCACTGGCAGTTTTTGTAAGGTTGCTGATCTGAGACGTAGCTGAAGGTTCCTTTGCTGTTGGCTGGGATGATTTATGGGGAATATTTGAAGGGGCTGCTAGGGAGGGGGTCATCATGCTGGCTGTGGAGGTGGACAGAGGCGAAGTCGCTCTCGAAGCAGGTGTTGTCTGCAGGCCGTTAGCTTCATCTTCCACCTGCACCTTCCTTGTCAACTTCGAAGGGCGCGTGAATATGCCCTTTAGAGGCTCACACTGGAAATACCGAACTCCTGCCACCGAACCATCGTTCTTGCCTATGGGTTCATCTAAAACAATCCCGGCCCACTGGCCTGGTGCAAACTGGGTTTCTCCCAGAAACTGGATGAATCCAGGCTTATTCCCATTCACCCAAACTCTCTCCCCGACTCGAAAGTCATCCACAAATTCCTCTTGTGCCTCAGAGGATGGCGTGTTTGATGCTTTCTCACTGGATGTTGTTCTTTCTACTGGTGCTACAACTGCAAACAGAAGAAAGGACCAGAAAAGACTCAATTTCATATTCAAGCCGACAACTCCTAACTTAAAAGAAAATAAACCGGAGAAAGCCCGAAGCAACAGAAGCAGTCGCAGCTCTTTTAAGGTATTCTGTCCATCTGTCTTTCTGTCAGCCCTTTTTAGTACTTGACCCATCAGGGCACCTGGCTGGCTCAGTCAGAAGAGCACACGATTCTTGATCTCAGGGTCATGAGTTCAAGCCCCATGTTGGGTGTAGAGATCACTTAAATCAATAAAACTTAAAAAAAAAAAAGGGGGGCGCCTGGGTGGCTCAGTCATTGAGCGTCTGCCTTCGGCTCAGGTCATGATCCCAGCGTCCTGGGATCGAGTCCGACATTGGGCTCCCTCCTCGGCAGGAAGCCTGCTTCTCCCTCTCCCACTCCCCCTGCTTGTGTTCCTGCTCTAGCTATCTCTCTGTCAAATAAATAAATAAATAAATAAAATCTTTAAAAAAAAAAAAAAAAGGACTCAGCCCATGACTACCATTTTCAATGCTGTCGAAACTCAGTGAGCCAGGAGGATTTAATCTTTATTGGCAATTAAGACTGGAAAAAGTCAAAGCAAGGGGGAAAAAAGTCCCTTTCCCAGAGTTCATAACACAGGTCTGATTTCATTCTTTCCTCCACCCCCCACTGTGCACATCATGAGCAAACACCTTTCGGATCCCCGGAGACGGGCCCTATTCCCACGTGGGAGTAGTCAGGGAAGGCTGACAAGTCCAGGACCTTGGAACCAGAGATTCGCAATCAGGCTTGGAGGAGGAGGAGACTCAGTGCTACATCCCTGCCATCTCACTCCAAGACCACCAAATCAACCCTATTCCTTTGGTGATAAAAATTGCAACAAAGGGAGGGCGCCCGGGTGGCTCAGTCGGTTGAGCGACTGCCTTCGGCTCAGGTCATGATCCCAGCGTCCTGGGATCGAGTCCGACATTGGGCTCCCTCCTCGGCAGGAAGCCTGCTTCTCCCTCTCCCACTCCCCCTGCTTGTGTTCCTGCTCTAGCTATCTCTCTGTCAAATAAATAAATAAATAAATAAAATCTTTAAAAAAAAAAAAATTGCAACAAAGGGAAAAAGATAGCACCTGGCCCAACTCCCTGCTAAGGCAAGACAACCTTATGCAATCTCTACCTTGCGGTAAAGCAGAAATTATATTTTGCCAGAAATGTGCTATTTACACCAGAAACTCAAGCATTCAACCAGCATTTATTAAATATTTGGTAGAGCTGGCAAAGAGCCCACATTCTTAAGCACTCTACCATTTATTAGGCATATTGTTTTGTTTTAAAGATTTTATTTATTTATTTGACAGAGACAGACATAGCAAGAGAGGGAACACAAGCAGGAGGAGCGGGAGAGGGAGAAGCAGGCTTCCCGCTGAGCAGGGAGCCCGATGTGGGGCTCGATCCCAGGACCCTGGGATCATGACCTGAGCCGAAGGCAGACACTTAACCAACTGAGCCACCCAGGGATCCCCTTATTAGGCATATTGTGATCTTAGATGTTACCTAACATCTCTGAGTTCAATTTCTTCATCTGTAAGGGGAAAGTACTATCTACCTTAAGAGATTTATTAAATGAAATAATGTATTGATTCATGCTCCCCCTTTCTATGAGTTTCTACCACTCTGGCACTAGTCCCAGGCATTGTTCTCACTAGTGGACAAAGCAAGACAGCATAGTCCATGCCCTTTTAGAGCCCAGAGCCTAGAGGTGTGGACACAGATAGTCAAGAGACACATCAGGTAATTTCAGGTGATGTAAGTGCTGTGGAGGAGACAGAGCAGTAAGGGAAGGCCTCCTGGAGGAGGTAACATCTGGCCTGAGGCCTGATCAACAGAAAGCGTGAACCACGGGTAGACAGGGAAACAAAGTGGTCTGGCCAGCCTACAAGGCGTGCTGAACATCCCCTTACCCTACCTAGAAGGAGAGACTGGTGTTTCGATTTGTGGAGGGTTTTTTTATTTTGTTTGTTGTTTTTTAGAAGACAATAAATGCTCTCAAATCAAACAGATAATAATCTGCCAAAGACAGACCAGCCCAGTCAGTTTTTTAGAATCTATTCCAGCTTTGTACATGAACAATTCTTCCTGACAGGGTGCTGCAAGCATGAGTTTCCGAAAAACAATCTTCATAAAAGTGCTCAAATGGGCAACAATTTTCTTTTAAGCATCTAAGTTTTAGTGTTTAAAAGCTGCTTTACTCTTAAAAAAAAACAACATGTAATGTATGGCAAGTACTGTTGAGGAAACCAAGTCGAATTTCTCATGATCCCCTGCACTCAAGGACTTTACATGCTAAGGGGTGTGCATAAAAAATGCTAAAAGTGAAAAAGACAATTCTAAAATGCGAGGCGTGAGTATGACCATGGGAGGGTGCGAGGAAGGGGTGACATTTGAAGGGGTCCGAAAGAGAGGAAGGATTTTGAAGGGAAGGAGAATAGGAGACATCTCAGTAAAGCTTTCCTCTCCTCTAAGATGTTTTATGGTCTCCCTGATAAGACCCCGGTTTTATCATGATACACAAAATGTAAATAATTTGGGATCTTCATTCAATCAACAAATGTTTAATGAGCTCCTGTTATGATCCAGGCAATGTTCTAGGTATGTAGGTAAATTTGGGCAGTGAAAAAAAAATGACAAAGATCCCTGCCGTCATAGAAGATCAATGAGGTTTTATGGAAAAATCTGAAGAAACAATGTTGGATTTAATATTTTGTGGTGGACACCTGACTGTCTGGAATGGCTGATAACCTATCTAATAGCATATAAACCACATGAAAAGACCAGAAAAGCAAGCATCAGATGCCCTCTCCTGAGTCTCTTATTTAAGACCGTTAAGTGGTCATTCTGGGCTGTAAACTGAAACAGTGGAGGAGGAGACAGAAAGCAGAGGGGAAGAGGCTGCTGAAGATCATCAAGGCCATGGGTTCATCAATGAAGTGAGGACGGTTTCCTGCATGAGCTAGACTCGAGCCATCGTACTCCCTGCTCCCTTGAAACCAGTGGCCAACTTCCGATCACTTAGTGTCATCAAATCTTTTAAGCCAGACTCGTCTTTGTTTTCTCTACACAGCCCTAAACCCCAAAGAAAAAGGTCCAGATGAGTTAGGAAGACACAGAGAGAAAAAATATCTTAACATTGTAAGGATTAAATACTGAAGTTACTTGACAACTATTTTAGCACCTTGCACTAAATTAAGAGCTCTTCATTAAGATTTTTAGACATAGGGGGTGCCTGGGTGGCTCAGTCAGTTGAGCAGCCAACTCTTGATTTTGGCTCAGGTCATGATCTCAGGGTCCTAGGATCAAGCCCTGTGTTGGGGGTCTGCACTCAGTGGGGAGTCTGCCGCAGGATTCTCTCTCCCCCTATGCCCCTCCCCCCAACCCCCTTAAATAAATAAATCTTAGAAAAATATTTTTAGGTATAAAATTCTGTATTTTTAAAAAAGATTTATTTATTTAAAGAGAGAGAGAGCAAGAGAGAGTGAGCAGGGGGAGGGGCAGAGGGAGAGGGACAAGCAGACTCCCCACTGAGCACACAGCCCTACAAGGGCCTGGATCTCAGGACCCTGAGATCATGACCTGAGCCGAAACCAAGAGTCGAATACCTAATCAACTGTGCCACCCAGGTGCCCCTAAAATTCCATTTCTTTTAATTAAAGCTTCTTCAAATATATTCAAAAATATGAAGTTGTTTAAGGCTGTCTTTTTAAAGTTTTCAAATAGGATTCTAATTTAGATATAAATCATAAAGCCTTACCAGCAGCAGGTGTCTTCAAGGCTGTGCTTCCAGGCTTTAGGATCTTGGTAGGGGCCTTAAGCCCACTTGGTTTTAGCATACTCATTGTCCTTAGTATGTCAGAGCTGTTTTTCCTTTGCCTGTTGCCACTATCTTGCCCCAACCATTGATACAACTGTGGGTGTTTCTATGGTGAAGTCAGTCTCTGGGTTAAATCTGCAAGAGAAAAATATAAACAGAATTTAGAATCTATGGGAGGAAGAAAGTAGAAATAACACCTATTATTAAAGAAGCTTTCACAAGCTAAACTTTTCCTCATACATGATGACAAACTGTCTCCACACTGAACCTAGGAAACTAGATAAAAATAGGAAGATGCTGCTGAGATGGATTTAGAAGCAATTTATTACCCCTAAAAACAAGCAGTTGAGCCTAGCAATACATTCCCTTCTCTTTACCTAATATTACCAGCTCGGTATAGTGCCTAAAATCCACACAGTCCACATAAGGGGGTTCCAAAAAATGTGCCCCAAACTTAATGGTGGGAGAAGAAAGGAGCTTTCAGTTTTTACTTCATTCATTTCTATATTGCTGAAGTTCTATGACCACAAGCCTGTATTAACCATGTACTTTTTTAAGTTCACAGAATTATGCAATGCTCAATATAAAACCATATACTCACATATACCGTGAGACTAGAGCAAGGTTCAAACTCTGTAAGAAAAAGCTGTATCTGGGAAGTGCCAAGGAAAAAAATTTTTTTTGTTCTGTCTATAGAAACACAATATACTTCTGATTTACTCAAGACCAGGTATGAATCTACAACTTTGGGGCTCAGGCAAAACAGGATTTTGTCTTATTCTCTTAATGAACACTGAGTGTTATTTGCAACTGATGAATCACTAAATTCTACCTCTGAAACTAATTTTTAAAATTAAAAATTAAAAAAGAAAAGAGGGGGCGCCTGGGTGGCTCAGTCAGTTAAGCGGCTGCCTTCGGCTCAGGTCATGATCCTGGGGTCCTGGGATCGAGCCCC